ATGCCATGAATGACTGTGGCCAGTACTCTGGCAGCACTATTATGAGGGAACTCAGATCTGCCAATTCTTACAGACAAGTTCTTTGATGGGCTCAGTTTATTTGTAGTAGTGCCCAACTCCAAAAATTTCTTGTCCTTCTTGGGATTGATACAGCAAACAACAACAACAAAGTCACACTACTCCAAAATAAAAGAAAACCAAAACATGAGCAATCCTACTGACATGTAGATGTTGTATCTAGCTTAAGTTATGCAAAACATTATAAGAAAAAAGGTTAATTATGGAAAAAGCAGTGAATTAAAAAACAGTTTGCACTCTTAACAAATATACTTAATATGTGTTTGCCACAAACTGACACAGGCAGTCCTTGTTTACTAAGGCATCGTCTATTGGAGTTGGCCAACACTGTACAGCCGTTATTTAGCAATGTGGCTAAATTGAGTTCAGTTCTGTTGTAAGAAATCACCCTCTTTTCAGCTTCTTTAGAACATGCTTATGGAATATCAAAATACCATTATGGTTCTTCCTAATGTTATGAGTTCCTCCAGAAATTCTTTTTTTTTTTTATGCAACTCCCTGCACATAGATAGCTCACTCATTCTAAGAAACATGTTCACCTCATGCAAAGATAACAGTTTATCAGTTATACTTTCATTCCAACTTTCTACATACTGACAGCCTCAAGAACTGAAATAATTACAATTAGCAGTAATTTTAAAATATTAATAAAATATCTGCCCCATGTTCTAGTATTACTCATTTTGTTCTGTTACAGCAGCATAGATGGGAGATCCTAGTTTTAGACAAAATGCTGCATAAAGCAGCACTCAAGGTAAAGGACTCCAACATGAGTTTGCTGGTCCAGTACAGCCTGGTACAGTAATGGTCTTTGAAATAATCATCATGCAGTCAGTAAAGCAGTTCTAGAATCCAAAAGGTGGGACAAGTAAGGGTTACATGAAGATTGCTTTTCATTGTTCTATTTTTCCTAGGGAAAGACTCTTCCCCCAGGCTTCTGACAGCAGTTACATTGTCATTCAGTTGTGACATTACCTGCTACGTTAAGCACAGATGTTTATTATTATCTCATAAATAAAGCTTGCTTTTGCTACTGGCATACAAGAGCCTGCAAAGTTTCTTTCCCAAGCATTCTTCCTGAGAGTGAAATAGCACTATATTTTAAAGGATGCAAATCGATCCATTGAAAACAGATACCTGCGTAGAAAAAGATGTGAAGTCATACATTAATGCTTTAACAGACTGTTAGCAGCTTTCTAACACTTTATTTCAAGCTAGATTTCATCCACACGAAACTGATGCTCTGTAGCTTCACCTATCAATTCACACTCCAGTTTTCACTTCAGTTATTTTCTCATGCAGATGAACGATGAGAATCTTTACGGATATTAGAAAGAATAAAATAGTCCTATGAATTACATCAGAAATACATTTAGACTGAATCACAGGAATTCTGTCTTATGCTTTTGCCACCTACTCATTTTTCAGCTTTGCTTTGGGACACTCACCTTTGCACCTAAAAGGCTTACTTTCTGGAAAAGGTGAGATGTTGCAGATGTGAGTAACTTCAAATGGATTCCTAATGACTACCCTGAACTCTCTAGAACTAATCCTTTTTTACTTAAATCAGCTATCCAAGAGTATAGTTCAGATCTCAGCTCACACCTGAAGTCATGCTCCTTCCAGTTGTGAAGATTTCTGGAACAAGTATTCTATAACCAAACACAATCTCATTAACTTTATAAAGTTAACTACTATAAAGGAGAGTAAAAATGATTTGTCTCACTGAATTCCTTCTACATATGTCTCTAAAGTGCTCTGCTCCCAGATTTCAAGGATCACAACAGAATTTTCAGCACACTTCTCAGATAGCTGACCCGGGTGATTCTGTGATTCTGTGTGATAGCTGATGAAATTATTCACCTATTTCAAAAATATCTAATGAAGGTAAACCGACTCCTCAGCTGCTAGCACCTTAATTAGGTTTGCTAAAATCACTATTTAGAAAGCTTGCCTCTTCATCTTAAAGAAAATATTCCCCTACACTCCCTTTGAATTAACTACCGTTCAATCAGATCACTGAATGCAAACTTCAATACTTTTCCTTCATCACGAGAGCATTCAAAACACTTTAAAATAGTTTTGAACTAATGGAAGTGTAAATTAACTTGCAACTGAATAAACATGGTGATGATTTTCAACAGGCAGTGCCTGGGCAGGACCACAGCATACATGACCAGATGTGCACCTTCTGGTTGTGCAATCTAAATCATACACGTCATGTGATGAAGAGGTTTGCATTTTGGTCATCTATGACACTGTCATCAAGTTACACGATGGAGGAAGGGCTGTGGATTTTCAGAAAAGAGTGGCAGGGAGCAGCTTGTCAGAATGATTCAGAACCAAAGTCCGGGTACTGCTTAGATGTGACTTCCTCTAAGAAGAGCAGAAAACATTACTTCAGCTATATACAAATCATATATTTTAAAAACAGACTAACTTGGCTTTTTCTTGTAAACTTGATTTCCTTTATATTGTTTTCAGATAAATTGTGTAGTTTTACTTGCCTAGTTTGTAGCGATTTGTCTATATAATAGATGAAAACTTGAAAGGATGTTCACACAGTAAAAAAAAACAAAACAAAAACTGCATGGTAAAGTAGGGAACATTTCTGTTGCACCTAAGTTTTGAATTGTTTTTTCCCTTCTACTTTTGAACATGCTTTCACTGTGACGCATCAATTTTGATTTAACTCCAACTCATTCTTAATAATTATGTCCGTATTTTGCTTTGGTCTAAGCTCTTTTAACAATGAAAAGACTGCTTGGTTGGAGACATGTTTGACTTTTGGGAAGTAACACTGCAGGATAGCTGCATTATATAGTCACACGTGTGGCAGATAAAACAAAATATGGTATATTCTTGATAGGATCAGCTAAACCTAAATGGAAGTGCACTTATAGATCTCACGTTTATTAGCAAGGACTCAGTGCCTACAAGTATTTCAGAACTTCCATATCTATTAATAAACCCGTGGCAGAGTGGAACTGCTATCTGCTGACAAGACAGCCTTGATAATACAACAGCAAAGCCATGATTATACAAGCATGCATTTGAGTTTCCACTGTAGATCTGTTGACACTCCATTTCAAAACATCTGAAGTTCATCAAGTACATAAAAAAATAGACCATTTTGAGTACTTATAGCCAGATAAAAACCTTTGAAACCTGCAGTGAGAGGACTGAAATTTTTCACCAGCAGTGTATGTTTTGTTATGACTGTAAAGCTGTTGGAAACTGCACCACGAATTGCACCTGTGAAAAGCCACAGGTAAGAACCCTGCTTAGACCTCGCTTTCCTTAATCCACCTGTTTTATTGTAAGGTAGATCTTAATTCTTTCACTGTGAAATGACATTTACACTGTATTCAGCGCTATGGTAGCCCCGCTGCCAAATAAGAGTTTCTTGTAGGACAGGTATAAAAAGCATAACTCAAAATGTTACAACAGCTGTCAGCAGCCTTCCTCATGACAAGAACACTTCATCAAGGCTCCCTTGCTTATATTACATGAGATTTGTCACCTCCAACAGAGATACTACTTTGAGGATAATGCAACAATCACATTAAATAAAGCACAAACTGCTGCTTAAGCATCATCTCTACATACATTTTTGTAGATACATTCCTGTCTCCACAGGTGCTAGTATGGCAAGTACGTAGGGCATATCCATGCCCTGAATGCTGAAACTCAGAATGGTAAATTCCAGTTACACCAATTACACACTATGCAAGTCCACATTTCCTACACGTAAATGGAAATATATCCCTTGTTAATAGTCTTCCCAAGGGTGCTGTGAGGATTAAAGGTTTGCACAGTGTTTTACTCATTCAAAGTGTTACGTGTAAGGCATTATTTGTGCTACTCACTTTCAGGAGCCATCACCGGACACCTTTTCAGGCTGGCTAAATTCCTACCAACTTTATTTTCTTCTTTAGGTGAGGAAAGCAATTTCTCCTGAAAAAATGTGATTTGATCCCTGTCCATTAGAAAGCGATGTACAAACATCAACATATTATCAAATGAAAAAATACTTTTGGTTCCCAAACAACACAAAACAATCTCATTTTACAACAGTTAAACTGAGGAGAGAAATCCAATGGGAATATTCTGTGTGTTTCTGAGATTTGAACACCCCTGCAACAGACGTATATGTTTGAGTAAAGGAGTCAAGCTTTTGCAGCTCCCACACATTTTGCTTCTACAAGAAATCCAGGAGACAAAACAGCAGGTATGAAATTCTGCACTGTACCATGGTTACAACTTCAAAGAACTTCAGAGAGTCACTTTACTGTGAAGCTTTGTATAGAAGACGGAGATATACTATGCTACAAGGTAACCCAGTGCCACTTCCTGGGTAACAGTGACAAGTCACAGATGAAATGTTACAGATCTGCAAGTGCAACATAGTCAGCGTACATTAAAAACTGAAAGATGTTTGTCCTTAGGACTGTTGGAGTTGTAACTTCGGGAAATCGCTGGCACTGATGGGATGAACATACACACAGCGATACAGTGAAGTGACAAAAAGAGAATGCAGAGACAGAGATTTGAAAGGAACAACGAAAATAACAGTTCCCCCTTGTGACAGTGCTCGACAGCTCTCCGTACTAAAACGGGTGACGTTCTGGGAATTTTGAAGCCTGGAACGAACACACCCTGCTAAAATAAAAGCCCACATTGCAGCCCCTCGCTTTCATGTTCGCAATAAGCGAGGGACCTGGCACCTGCACGCCTTTTCCTGCCCAGCGCCAAAGCGTCTGGCTCTCAGACAGGCACACAGGTACGCGCCGGGAGCTCCGCAGTGCCGCGGCCCCTTCCGAGCACGGAGCGCGGCGCGGACAGGCGGCCCCGCAGCGGGCGGCCCTGAGGCAGGCGCCGTTCCGCGAGGCCGCGCCGGGAGAGGCCGGGCTGCCACTCACCTCTTCCACTTCGATCTCTTTGTAGTCGATTTCTTCGAAGTTGAGGACGGGGGGGGTTTCAATCATTTCAGCGGAGGCGGCAGCGGACATCCCTCCTCTTTCACCTGGGGGAGGAGAGGCCAGGGCAGGCCGGGGGCCGCGCTCGGCGGGCCGGGCCGGCTCTAGTCGGGGCGAGGCGGCGGCTCCCGCCCTCCGCGCGGGCGCAGGTCGGCGAGGGCCTGGCCGAGGCGCCGCCGCGCGGGGCGAGGCCGCAACCCCCGCCGCCCCCGGCCCCAAGTT